GGTGTAGCCCAGAAGACAGGCCCCTCAGAGGGACATCTTGGGACTGTGACTATTCCCTCCAGAGTCAGTTAGGATAGCAGTGGAGGAGCCTCGTTGTGGCTGTGATGCAAAGACACGCCCTGCATAATATTACTCCACGTAAGACATTAAAGCTGAGAAAGACTGACCTAAACTATGAAAGCTTGCAATAGATCCACATTATTTTTTTGTGTGTGAAACTAAAAAAGAAGTACAATTTAGAAAAGCAGGTTAGGGCGAGAAATGTCTGCAGCTAACTGCAAGGAGAACCAGCCCTGCACAACACAAATAAGGCAACTAGGAAAAGATACAATGTCATACTTTGTCACACTTCTCAAGCTGGGGAAATAATAGGAGAGAAATATAAGGAGGTGACACAAAGGGATGTTTCCACTATAGCAGGATCAGCTAGTCAAGGTCAAGGGAAGGTGAAGCTTTCTGGGGAGAGGCAAACAGGGGAAGAAGCCCACTGTTCTGCAGAATCAACAACAGCTTTCATTCAGGGCTTGGAAGTGGAGAGCCAAAGAGAAAGCTCAGAGGGGGTCATGTGCTAGAGGAATTGCAGAGAAGGATGTAGCAGAAATGACAGTGCTACAGGAATAAATCCATTTAGGCTTAGGAGTGCGGAGTTTACAGGAAACTCGAAATCAAGATACATTTTAAGTATGTGTGTGAATACCAAGGGGGATGAGGGAGCCTCAAGCCTGTGGACAGGAGGGAACCCATTTTACATGTTTCTAATTTTTCAGAAAGACGTGAATGTTTCAAAGGTCATTCTCAGAGAGTGGAGGCAGAAGCATAGATTGGATTGTCCACCCCCCAGGATATAGGAAGCAGAGTGCAAAATTAACCTCTTTTTTTTTTCCCTCAAATGTGACAGTTGATCAGTCTGCATTGTGAAGACTGAAATAAAAAGCTTGTTTTTGCTTTGGCATGTGCTTGCTGTTTTCCTGCTTGCTTACTTACTAATTATTAAGTCTCTGCTGTAGTCATTCATTCCAGGGAGTGATATGGTACTACGCTCCAACTTCTCAGAACTTCATTTGCTGTGAGAGCCTGGAGGCTGCTTGTGTTTTTAAAATTTGGCGCATAAGGCTAATACCACGTTATTGCTCATTTCCTACGTGACTTTTTCAGAGAAAAAGCAGAACACCTGCCCAAGTACAGCAGAAGAGGGCTCTGCTGCTGCTGTAGAAGGCAGGTTCTAGATGCTACTTCCTCTGCAATGGAGTCACTGTCTTGTGGTGAGGGATGGGCTGTGCAAGAAAATGAAGCAGATAAAGTTGCCAGGGGATGTTGCTCTGGATTGTTGAAAATATAAGAGAGAGGAGGATTCTTATTGTGAACTTTAATTTCCCTTTGGTTATCTACTAATGGAAAATTCACATAATAACCCCACAAGATACCTGGCATCTTTCATGCTATCAAGAAGGACATGGGGCATGTTGTGACCTGGTGAGCTACATGGAAGAGCACGGCGGGCATCAGAGAAGTGAGTGAATTTTGGCTCACAGTACAGCACAATTTGGGCACTGATGAATGGGATCATCTATGAGCAAAAGCCAAACTAGTTTTTGCAGGACAGACAAGAATCTTGACTCTCCAAAGCATTTGACACTAGGGAGTGCCACTGCCACACTCATTATCATCACTACTGCTTTACCACTGCCCTGCTCAGGTGGCCTCTGACCTGCTGCAGTCTAGAGGCAAGGATTACACTTCGTAGATCTGGGCAATCAGTACCCCATGGTTTCTTGATGGAAGCATTCCCCTAGCCTTCATGCAAAGCATGAGACGCTTTCCAAGCAGAGTCTCATTCTTCGTTCTAGCCCCTGGCTTAGACAGCCAAGTAAAAGCAGGTCCTGTGATTAAGCACTGAATGTTTTCATAAAGACAGTCTTTGTGCCATTCTCCATGTTGGGCATTTCCAGAAGGGAAGTTGTAGTCGGGATGATAGATGCTCTCTAAGTTGGAATTTTGCTGTCTTTGTGCGGAAGTTAAGGACATCTCCGATGTTAAATATTTAGAGTAGATGAATTGGGGAGGTGGGAGGACTGCTGAGGATGCCAGATTTTGTGATTTTCCAGTTTTAGATCTCCTAGGGTCTAAACGTTGGTGTATCCTTTAGTTCCTTGTTGGAGCCTCCAATACCTCATGGGATGGTCTTTAAGAGGGGGAGTCTATGGGAATCGAGTAATTCCTGAGGGCAGAAACTTCATGAATGAACCAATGCCGTTACAAAGGAAACTTCCCTTGCTCCTTCTGCCATGCCAAGACACTAACACTGATTAATAAGCCCTTACCAGACACTGAATCTGTTAGTCATGAACGTTTGCGGTAGTGGACAACAAAATCCCTGTTGTTTGTAAACTCCCCCTGGTCTATGGCATTTTGTTACAACAACCAGAATAGCTAACTCAAGACCCATACCTATACTGACCACCAAAAAAAAAATCTCCTTTTGTCCAGCAATAAACACAGGTTGTACTCTCCACAGGTTGGAACAGGGTGTCTTACCCACCCCTTCTCTCCCCTCCTGATGAACAGACTTGGTGCTGAGGTCTGAATTTAGAAGAAATTTGGAGACTGTTGGGGAAGAGATGTTTCTCCCCCACTGCCTCATACACATGGAGAAGGTTCTTCATTTCTTCTTCGCTGAGGGCAGTTCCCTGGCCCCTGTTACAACCTTTCTCCATCTTGCATGGAAGACGAATTAAGGCAAATCTGGAATGCTGACTGGCAATGTTCACACAGGGAGTGTATTCAGTGAACAACTACATGGGATTATCTTCTGCTCTCATGTATCTGTCACTGTGAATGAGACAGCTTGCATGGAATGATCACCAGAAAACGGTTACTTAGCTGGAAACTGCTTGCCCAGGATCCATTTAGGAATATTTAGTGGTGGGCGGGTCTTGGCTAAGGATTTAGAGAAGTGGGCAAAACTGCCTGAGCTACCTGGAAGATGATTCACCAGCCACTTGGAAGAGCTTAGGCCCCTGATTATCTACAAAAGTGGTACCCTGATCAGCAATATTTACTATAGGTTATTACTGCCTAGGACAGAAACAGACCTGGATTACAACTGAGGCATTATACACTTGTGTTCTATCTGGGAGGACAGTGCAGTACTACTCCAAGTAGTATACTGAAAGGGTGAGATAGGTTCCTACTTCTCCAGGCACCTGGCAAAGGAAGCAGTCTGTGCCCATCCTGCTCCCAGACGTGTTCTAATGCTTCCACTGGAAGAAGGAGCACAAGGCCTCCTTTTTGGCCAGCTTTAGGAGCTAGCGTTGTTGTTCGGAAGGCATTGGGTACTTAGCTTGTCCATCATTACTAGAAGCCACTATTTTTACTCCCGTCAGTTTCTCCATTCCCTTGATCTATTTTGATTGTGCAGAATTGTGACTGGATTGGGGGCAATATCTGGAACCTCGACTTTATGTACACACCTGTCTCATGGCGGGAGGGCGGTGGGGTGTGCACAAAGCCTCTCTCCTCCAAATGCCAGACAGGAAGTCCCATCCTGTGCCATGGATAAGAACATGGGTTTAATCTGGAGCAAACTTGGGCATGCATTATGGCCGTGGGACTTGAGATAAGTTCAGTGTGGGTGCTGCCAAACTATCAGGTGTTGATGCTTTTATGGATTGGCAGGCATAACAAATGGCAGGTGTGCTAGTCTGTCAGAGTAACATCCAGCACACTTCTGAGACTATACAACTGGGTATTATTTGAAATCTAGATTTTTTTTACTCCCTGGAACATCTCTTGGGAACCGCAGCTTTCGTTATGAGTAGATTATATAAAGAAACAGAAACAAAACAGCCATGACTTCAGCATTTAGCAGTTTACTATGGAAAGTGTCTCTGGTATTTCTTTTACCTGGAGTGCAGTGAATGGCTGCAATCCTAGACAAGCAAACAAGATGAGATGCTCTGCTAAATGGTAGTACAACTAACATGTGCCCACAAAGGGATTTTTCTTTTCTCTCTCTCTCTCCCACCCCTTTTCCTTTCTTTCCTTTCTCATGGTTAAGGGAGGTGGCCCACAGGATCAGTGCTCTGACACCATAGTAGGTCGACCCTAAAACTGTTCTGTTAGCACCACTATTCATACGACAATCCACACTAACCCGGACTTGCTTCAGGGGAAGAGAAATTGCCAGCATCAGAGAGAAGAAATGTGCACAAAATACAAGTAGTTTTTTTTTTTTGCAACAAAAGAAACTATTTATTTGGAATATGCATTACCAGTACAAATTAGGAGACTGTAAAACCTACACCATGTTAGTATCATTAGAGAACACAAAAGTTCAGTTGGAATCAAAAGGGACAGAAGTCTGTGCCCTCACAGAAGCAGAAAGGATTAAACTTTCAAAACCAAAACAGAGCAGAGCTTTGCAGGTTTATATTCTGAATAATAAGAAGGCAAAGGGAGGGGCAGACTAGAATCCACAACCAAACGGAAGCACTTCCAAATGAAAACACCAAAGGAAAGAAGCAAAGCAATTAAAATAGAAAAAGAAGGAAACCATCGAATGTTTTATTTATTTTAGCAAAAGAAAAAAGTTTACAAAAAAATAAACGATTGCAGGAAGCTTTGAGCAAGGGATTGAAACCATAAAGGTGATGTGAAAAGCTCGTCATTATCTTGCTTGGACTTCAAAACAAGAGCCCAAGTGTTTGGGTAGAAGCACTTTCCAAAGAATCGCTCCCCAATGCTCTTTCTTCACTCGCTTTTCTTTATGTTCTGGGCAATTTCTAAACACTTTCTCCAATGAGGGAGGTTTGAAACTAAACTTTTTTTCCAGGTGGTACAGCTTTCTTGTTTCCTATAACTAATAAAAACATTCCAAATCAGGCTGGCTTTACCATTTGTGTTAAGAAGCCACCTAAATGAGAGACAGCTAAGACATGTTTGGCAGTCAATCAAACACAACTTCTCAGCATCAAAACCCTGCCATGGCTGGTCCAGGATGGCACCCATTCTCCATCCAAGATGACGCAATGGCTCACCAGACAGCTTGGTTCTGCGTCTGTGTCCTGCACCTATTCTACTTAGTCGATGGTACCCATCATAACAGTCCCACTTGTGGGATTTGTCTGGAAGAAGAATCCTTTCTCCTCGGAAAAGGCTGTGTGGAATGTTGTTATTAATCAGGGAGAAAGAAAAGAAAGCACCTAACTGTGGTGTCTAGGATCAAATACAGGCTAATGGCTTCTCCTACAGGAATCGTCTGGACCGATTCTTTGACATTTTTTAAGAGCCACAGGAGAAGCAAACCCAGATTCTGTTTTTCTCAGGGAGTGCAAGAGAACTACATGCTCTGGAAATGCAAGTTGGCATTGAAACACCAACAAGGGCCTTCTCTGTTTCTCACGGCAACTGAATTCTGAAGCAAAGCAGGGAACAAGGAAATGGCCTATTCTACTAGCGTCATCTTTTCACATCACCTCATATACATATTTAAGGAATAAAAACAGCAAGATCATAATCCTGACAATTAAAAAATCCCCCCCATAAGCAAACCAAAAATAACACAAAACAAAAACACATATATAATTTTTTGTGTGTTTTTAAGAACAGGAATAAAGAAAAGAAAAGAATTTGTTTCTGGGTCTCAAAGTTAATAAACATAATAACGTGTTAGGTTGTACCTATTAAGCTCACTATTCCAACCTTTTTTTTTTTTTTAGTTTACAAAATGAATTACTGTCACTTTTAAACATTGTGAAACAAGAAATGGATGTGCACAACTCGACACTTTTCTAGCATTCTTGAACTAATTCACAAATGCAAGAAAATAAAAGAAAAATGTTGAAATGATGAATGTAGGTAGTCTGGCGTTCAAAACTAATGCAGGAATGATGCGCATTGTCACAGAGAGTAGGGCAAACTCCCCATCCTGTTTTGCGTGCTATGAGGGTCATTTTTAAAATTTTTTTTATTATAAACACTATTAAATTCAGACCGCTTTTTTGGTTTTTTTCTTCATCTGAATATACAAGAACATTCATTATCAAATGTTCATCATCAATACTACAAAGAACGAGACACAAGTCGCAAGAAACAATGGAAAATGTTAATAAAGCTGAAAGAATCATTGAGTATTTTTTTGTTTTTTTAAGTTTTTTTTTTTTAAATTTGAGTTTCTGTAGTTTTATCTTTTTTTGGTATCGAAGTCAGGTTTTTCTGGGCAGAAAAAAACAAAAGCAGAAGGAAAGAGGGAAAAAAAATATCCATGAGAGAAAGCTATCAGCAAATAAAGAGCAACCACCACAGCTAAATAAAACAAAAATAATAAATTGAAAGAAGGTGTCACTTGGCAAAAGAACTGTAAGGGAATCAACTCCCACAATGGAGGAGGAGTTAGGGGTGGAAAGCGGGAAATAATGAAGAATTACAAGGTGGGCAAACCCAGGGTCTAGCGTTGCATCCCAGGGGACATTTGCTGTCAGGGAAAATGGAGCACTCCCACTTTATTAGAAAATGGAGGAGTCCCAAGGGCACAGGCAGTTATCAATAGGAGTGGTCTCGCGGGACTTCTTAGAGGCAGCCTCTTTCCATCCCCACTCTTCGGCTGTTTGGCTTAGTACTGAGGCCTGCTGGGACTGCCATGTTGGAAGTGACAGCGTAGAGGGAAGGCTGTGGGAAGGAACAGGCTCTCAAGAAGAAGGAGTGAAGTGCTCAGTGGGGGTAGAGGAGTGAGGGGTGATCATTAGTGAACACTACTGCTGGGAGAAAAACTGCCTGAGCAAATGCGGCACCGCCTTTCCATGAACTCAACATGCAACCATTGAATTCAAACCTGGAGTCATCCTACTTGTTTCCTGTACCATCTACTCCCAGCCCCCTGCTCCTCTGCTCTGCTTTGCTCTCATTTCTTTCCTGCTAAGCCTTGGCTCAACTGAATGGGCTCCAGTCCTGTTCCTATGTGAGTCACTCCATTGTAATTCTGCTCCTTCTAGGCACTCAAGTTCTCCACTGAAGCTTCTTCTAAGCACCCATTGTATCTAGTCCCATTCTGATTATGACACAGCTGAGCAGACACAGGTGCTCTATGGCTCTGAGTCATCAAAGCATAACTTTCTTTTGCTAAGTATTTATTTTGGTATTTTTTTTTCTAAAACACATGTGTTTGAGAGTCTCAGGTATCTCTAACCAAAGACCAGGTACACACAGAAGAGTATTCTCTATTCATTACTCTAGTGCCCTGAAGAATTTCCAGAACTTTCTAAAATGGTCATCCTCACCCCTCAGGGTCTTGTGACTTTCCCTGGGAGCCTCTCAGAGTGATTGTGACAGGGGATAGAGTACTTAGAGGGCCACACATTTAAATTCTAGTAAAAGCGAAGGTAACCACGTCTTATCTTTCTATTTTGATGCTTTCCTCCATGCTAAAAGACCAAACAGACCAAAACAATCAAAGAAAAATCAACCACACTACTCTTTCTCATCATGGTGATGAGATCAGGGCATTCATGGTAACCAGAGGTTCTAATAGAAAATAATTTATTGTCTCTCTCTGGCATGAAGTTGTTTACCTTAGGAAAATTTTTTTCCCCCGACTTCCCACTTGCAGGTTGGATATGACTGAAATCAAGTTCTTTAATCTCTCACAAACCTCTTGGTGAGCCAGACATAGCAATCTCTACAGATGGGGGGAAAAATGACATACCAAGAGATGTGAGAACCAACCATTTAATCACATGACAGGCCTGCCACCTTTACTACTGGTGGAGCTGGCTGTGTAGAATTTAAATTTGGAAGACAGTCAGCAATGGCTTTCTAGTACCTGCTGTCCTCACCCAAGATGCTCCCAGTGAGGCAACACCACTGCGTTGGTTTCAATGAAAACACTGCCTTCTCCTAGAGTCTCGGGTCCTCAGACAAAACAGCAAAAAGTTTATTTGAACCTTGTTCTTTTATTACTACTTCAGGAACACCATGCCCTGTAGCTTTCTGATAAGTAACACCATTTTTCCAATACAAAAACTAAAATTAAAAAAAAAAAAAAAAAAATCAAATTCATTGTGGACATATAAGTACTACGAGTGGCACCCTGAAGGCTCCAGAATTGGAGGAAGGGAGAAATTTTAGCACTGGAAACTTGAGCTTCTTGGCTGTCAAGTCCCATATCTGCCACCCTGGCAAATGCTGCTGGGCCTGAGAAACCTCCGGTACATGCTGCTTCCCTGCGTCAGTGAGCATCGCTCAAGAGCTGTTAACACCCTCTCTGGGTCTTACAAGGTGTAGTGCAGTGATTACTCAGACAGGCATTTGCATATGACATCTTGGGAAGGTGAGAGTGCAGAAGAGTGTGTGTATCCCCATGCATGTGGAGGGACAGGAGAAGAAGTGTCTCAGAGAAGAGGCCTCCTTAGCGAGGCAATCATTGCAGTGCCCAAGTCAGACCTGGCTTAGCAATGGGTTCCAAACCTTGCTTCCCTAAGGGTTGAAAGGACTGTGAAGATGGCGCCTTTTCAAGGGCTACTGTGAGGAGGATGAGGAGGCCTGTAAGAATCCTGCCATTCTTGGCCCTTGGGCCTGACTCCCTGGAATCAATTGAGGAGGGCTGACACTGGGATGAGTGGCACTTCTAGAAACCACAGCAGTCCCCAGTGCCCACCTCGGTTAGCAAAGAAGAGGGGCAGAGTGTTCCCATCAGTACTGTCCCTGGGGAGCAAGAGGAGGCAGGGAGGCCGAGAAGGAGCAGGGCAATGTGGCGTATTCCTGCTGAGAGGTAGTGAGAGTAACAAGACACAGAGAAGGATTGCCTGGCAACATGGGGTAGGAGCAATCTGAGAGAGGGACATTTGGTTCCTCAAACCACCAGCATGAAAACATACAAATGCTTTTATTATTTTCTTTGTAGTCTTTTGTGTTTTTCTCTTTAAATTCCTCTAATTGTTGAAAAATATCCTTCAGGGACATCATAGAGGACAGAGACCCCGGGCATCTAGGATAGAGGAAAAGGGACAGTGAGGATGACAGAAACCAGGCTGACAGCTGGAGGCAGGGAAGGGTGGCTTCTACCCAGAAAAAAAAAAAGAAAAAAAAAAAGAAAAGAAAAAAAAAGGAAAAAAAAAAGGGAAGAGTGTATATAAAGAAGTGTCCAGATTGGCTGAAATAGCATCCCAAAGAAGAGAAGAGAAGGAGACTCTTAGTGTGTTTGCTGATTGCTTCGACCTCCAGTCTGACCGCTTCAGCGTTGGGAGAGAAACCCTCCCTCCTGCCCCTGCCCCAACTGGGGCCCAGGGTCAGCCGGGATGCGATTGCTGGGAGATCAGTTGGAGGTATCAGAGTGAACACTGCCAGGGCCTTCTGTAGGGGAGGTCACTGATGAAGGGGTAGTAGCATCCTGCCAACCTCCATTAGCCTAGAAGGGAAAAAGGGAAGAGAAGTCAGTCCTCTGAGATTGGGTGTCCATTTTGAGCAGACAATGACAATGATGCAACTTGTGTAAGGGGCCTAGCCCTGCACCTGCCTGTCCCATGGGGACATTCTTCAGATGGGCAGCGAACACTGTGGTGATGATATTCCCCCCACCCTCTGAAGAGCTAGGATCCTCCCAGAGAGCTTGGGATAACAGAGTGAACACCCCCCCCCCCACCATGGTGTGATGGATTTATACTTCTCCAGGACTTTGTGATTCAGTCCATATCATTTGTGCAATGGCAGCTGCTTTGCAGGTCAAGAGACTCCCAGGTTTGGCAACAGGTGGATGTTGATGACAGTGAAGCACCTTGTTGGATCTTCTCCCCTTTGAAAAGTGATGTTGACTCAAAGGATTCCTAAGAATCTCTCCAGCTCTGCATACTTCTTGTGTGTATGGGAATCTAGGTCCCTGACCTATGCCAAGTCTTATAGTAGATGCTCCTGGGCACTTAATGATGAGTGATGTACAACTCATGTCCTCACGGAGAGAAGATAAATTCACAAATCAATCTAATAAATAGTAGCGCCCTGCAGGCAGACAGTATAAACAAAGGGGACATCACACCTTGTCGGGGCAGCAGAAAACAACTCACGGAGGAAGCACTTTCAGAGGTGGGCCTTGGAAAGACACAGGGTGATTCAGGTGAACAGAGCAGATCAAACAATGATGTGAAGACTGTAAGGGCTGGCCTATCTGAACACATCTCCAGAGTGGGTGAGACAAGAAGCAACAGGCTTGACCTACATTCAAGGTCAGCTGTCTGAGACTCCAGATTCAGACAGAGGCACCCAACAATAAAACTGTTCTCCAAGAATCTGTCAAGTGACCCCCTCTCCCCAAAAAATAACTCCATAGTAAGCTAAGGATTGACTGGCTACAGTGCTTAATGCACATTCGGAATTCATGACTGTTTATGTTTTAAAGCACGGACATATAAGTGTGTTAAAATGCCCTTTCCCCAATCACTGTGCTCCTTTGCATATACCATGCTTCAATTCTGGAAATGTTGCTGTGAAACACACCAGGTCCTAGCCATCCCTTCTAAAATATTTTATTGTGGTCTCCTATCATTTTATTCTCTGCAAACTTTGCAGTAGATAGGGCAGGTGTCATCATTGTTATTTAGCAAACAAAGAGCACTGCTTCTACTCATGCACGTTCCACAGTACTTAGTTGGATGCTCCAATCTAATCACCACCAATCACATATTTTCATTCACCCAGGAGAAAAGCAGACTTGTTGGCCAACAAGAACACAGGCCTCCTAACCTGTGTGGCCTGGGTATCTTTTCCTCCACACTTTTCAACCCCATTTGGCTTTCTTTTTCATTGTGCATGCCAATGATGTTCCAATTCCCCCAAAGATACCAAAGCTTTTGATTTGAAGCAGCTCTCACCAGTTTTTCCAGCCCGAAGTTAGATTTTGTGTATGCTGCGTGGAAGAGCACATTTGGATACTAAACAGGAAAAATGGTTACCCAGGGCAAAGCCACGCACACTTCTCAATCATGCATGAGTCAACGGGGTTAGCTGCACTCAGATCCCAATTTCTGGCTCTTATTCATTTCTCTTGTTCCTCCCACTCCCTTTCCCAGTGGAGGACACTTCCCCTGGTATTGCAATAGGTAGATTATATAAAGAACAATAATGGGAAATGAGACTGATTTTTTAAAAATACAAAACAGACATGTTCTCTATCTTTTTAGGACTGAGATTGTGAAGAATAACCAGAATCAGGAACACAATTAATTCAAATACCTAATACAGACTTGTCACAGGGTGAGGTCTTTGCCTTTTTCCCTATTAACAACATGCATATCCTGGTGTCAGTTTTAGCTGCATGAGAATGTTGGTTATACTTCTTTTCCCTAAATAAAATCCCTTAATGTCATTTGCCTTGTTGTTATGAAAGTAAAGGATGCATATCATCATATAATGTTGGGAAACAGAAAAATAGAAAAAACCATGTATTTACATCTATAGTCCTACTATTCAGAGGTAATAACTACTAGCATTTTGATATTTGCCTGCCCTGATAATCTTTAAAAAAATTATTTATTTTTATTGGAAAGGCAAATATACGGAGAGAAGGAGAGACAGAAAGATCTTCCAACTGCTGGTTCACTCCCCAAGTGTTGTAAAGGCCTGATTCAAAGCCAAGAGCCAGGAACTTCCAGTGGGTGCAGGGTCCCAAGGCTTTGGGCCAATCTCAACTGCTTTCTCAGGCCGCAAGCAGGGAGCTGGATGGGATGTGGAGCAGCCATGACATGAACTAGCACCCACATGGGATTCTGGTGCATGCAAGGTCAGGATTTAGCACTAAGCTATTACACCGGGCCGCCTAACAAGCTTTTTATATGTGTATGTTCAACAAACACACATATTTATATAGGTAGAGAGTTAGACGTGTGTGAGAGCACGGAAGAGGTATGTGTGTGTTAACTGAGTAGTATGGGATTTCAAGGAAGTTTGATAGAGGCTCTTGAAGTGCAATATCATAAAACAAAGTAGAGTTCTGGCGAAAAAGAACAAAAGTCACATATCTTAGAATCAACCTCGAATGAGACAGGCAGAAAAGGAAGCTCAGTGGAAGCAGTCAACATTCACGTCGTGGCACATGACATGAAGCAATTTCATTCCATCGCTCACAAATCACCACTATTACTATTATTTAGCCATGCTATAATTCCATTAAAGTAACAATAAATGGTGCCAAAAGTGAAACCATTAGAAAAGAAAATTAGCTCAGTGGCATTTCATTAGGAAGGGATTGGCAAGGCAGTCTATGCTCTCCAATGGCTTCAAAAGACTTTGTGGGACATCTCTGAACTGAAATAACTCAGGCAGGAGATATTTGATCTCTTTTTCTCAAAGATTCCTGTTTTCTCAGACCAGTGCACAAAATGACAGAGGGCAGAAAGGACTCACAGATGGTAGAGTATTAGTTCAGCTGCTACCAAAACCAGGATTTTAATTATGCTAGCTGGTCCAGTGAATAAAATCTAAAACCTTCTATTGCAAATATGTGTGTTGATCAGATATCCACATGTCCCCTTTTTATCCATTAAAACACACACACACACACACACACACACACACACACACACACACCTTCAGATTTGGTGACCATCCACAACAGTTTTCCCAAGTCTCCCACACTAGCATTGCCAAGTCCTATATTCCGACAGATCCCTATATCCTGGCTTAAATAAGACTGTTGGTCCCCCTACTCCAAGATATTTCCACTCCCATCTCTTCTTGCCAGACTAGGGGACAGAAACCTATCAGGTCCAAGTTAAATCAACATAGGTACTTTGTAGAATAAACATGTCTGATACTGGGGACAGTGGGGAAGAAAGCTTCTCGATGCAGGTGCTTTATATAACAACGTGCTATCTGCTGCCACTGCTGTTCAAACCTCGACAAGATCACAAACTACAAGCAAATTCAACTTAACTGGGTTTCCTGTAAATCACTTTGGCTGCTTCAGCTGTATCATTCCAGCTTTAATGTAAGATGTTCAGAGGCGGCACCGTCTTGGGAAACAGCTGACCTCGCTTACTGCCACGTTAACCCTGGGGAGCAATTCCTTCCCTCTTCCTCCACTGCGGGTGAATATTAAGTAGGGAACTGTGCCTTTGTGTGTTTATTTATCTCCAGGCGCAGTAAGAGTGGAGGATGCTCTCATTAACAACCATGTGGAGGTGGCGGGAAATAACACTTTGGCTTTGATTTTTCTTCTGCACTTCAACTTCCCCCTTCACTCTTCGCTGCACTCTATCCTTTATAATGGATGCTGTCTTCAAAATGCTAATGTCACAAACCACACAGAGGAGTTTGAGGGGTGGGAGATAAAGTCTGCAAAACCCAATGTGCCCTTTTTATCTTTGTCCATATTTCTCATGGAAGAGTCTATATTTGCACCCAGCTCTACAAGATAATTTTATGGCTTATCATACAGATACCTGGAAACAAGACCCAATGATGCTTTTTAAAATTTTCTGAAACATTATGTTTATTTACTTGAATGGCAATACATTCGCTTCTCTGAATGCTTGCGACAGCCAGGGCTGGGCCAGGCCAAAGTCAGGAGCCAGGAACTCCTTCTGTGTCTCCCGTGTGGGCAGTGCAGGCCCAAGCACACGAACCACCATCTGCTGCCTTCCCACATGCATGAATAGAAGAAAGCTGAATGGAGAGAGCAGGAAGGACTAAATTCCAGGCACTTCCAGTGTGATTGTGATTGTCCCATGCAACGCCTTAAAATCCGTGCCACCGTCTATCCTTGCTTATAGATGAAACCTAAGCCACTAGAACAGGGTGGGCTCATGCCAGAGCCCAACAGAGGAGGAAGCTTAAATAATTGGGGACAAAATGTTTTAGGGATAAAAATGAATCACTATAGCTTATCCTGATCAATTTGGCACTGACGTGATATGCACCAAATTCTCTGAGAGTCCTGCCCAAAGCAGCATGGACTGCATGCCACTCCAAGAAGGTAAACAGAGCTCGCAAAGGAGCCAAGTCTGAGCAATGGTAAGTGAGAGAACTGTTGACCACACACATGGCATGGGACTGTGACTAACGCCCTGACTTTCGCTTTCTCTATCACGTTCCTTGAACGGGAGCCCCATGTGGTTGACTCTTCCTTTATGGTTGTGGAGCCAGTACTGCTTTTAGACCAAAGCAGAAGCTGCTGGGCTGGGAACTGCCTGTCCTATCTCATCTTCCCACCATTTCTCTGCATTCACCTTAGCAGTACACTGTTGATGCAGAGAATTCATCACCTGATGTGACAACCCAAGCAAGCCTGGCACTACGAAACTCTCATTTGCAACCCAGAAATATGCTGAGGTGCCACAAAACGGCTGATGTCAGCACTGAGTTGAGCTTGATCTGCATAAGGGCCAGCTGCCATTACCAGAGATGCCTTCGGCGTAG